TTTTTTTTTTTTTTTTTCTTTTAAGAAAGGGAAGTGTCTTTTAATTATTTTCTTTGACTTGATGAAATTCATTAATTTCGTATATTCATTCCAATGTCACGAAAGTATAAGAAGAGAAAGAAGAAAAGTAAAAGGGTTGGATATCGTCAGAATGAAAATGCAGCAGGGCTTTGATAATCCTTGTAATATTCATATCTTCATTTATTTCTCAATTATTATGCAACCAATCTCTATTTTCAAAGCTAATTATGATCGAATTATTATTATTATTATAACTCAATTTCTTGTCAGAAAATGTTCCTTTGCTATCTTTCTATTCTCTCTCTGTCTCTTTCTTTGTCTGTTCATTATATCTATTTACTTATTATTATTATTATGTTCCTCAATAGTAGTATAACCTAGTGATATAATATTTCGAACAATTTTGGAAAAATAAAAAATAAAAACAAAATTAATTACCAGCAGAGTTATTTTCTGTGTTTTTTTTCTCATTTGTAACATTTGTTCTAATAATTTTTTCTCTCTACATCCAATGAAGAATATACAAGCATAATTATTAACATGGAAAATACGTTTTATTAATTGGCTTTCTTGTGTTTATCATAATTTATTAAACCGCGTGTATTATATATATACAATATAATATGTACAATATGTACATATGTTCTTATCGATTAAATTAAGTTATAGAAATCATTCAAACAAATTGTCAAAGTTATGTTAGCTATGTAATATTTAATGATTTAATTTGTATACTTTTGAAAATGTTTCGGCTTTGAAATATTTAAAATTTATCAACAATGACACATAAAAATATACTTATTGTTAGATAAAATATTTGTTTCTCGATTTTTTTTTTTTTCTGAAAAAAGAAAAATAATATGCACGTTACCGTTGGAGGAATTGAAAAATATCTCTGTTACTACTAGTTCAAAAAAAAAAATGGAATATTATAAACGAGAAAAAAATGGAAAAGAAAGAAAGGAAAAAATATTAATTAGAACAAAAATAAATTCCTCGTTTAAAATTCAACAAAAAGGTTTGTACGTTGAAATAAAAAATTCCAACTATTTGCACAAAGCCGGAAAAGCTATTCGATGGAATCTCGGTATTCCATAATTCTCCTAATTATCGTTTATGACAACCGACAAAGGGAAAACTGGTCTGTGCTTCAGTCGCATTGGAATTTGCAAGTAAACCTATCATCTAGTTATGAATGGCATGCATGATCGAAATTACGAGACTTCTCTCTCTCTCTCCCTCTTTGTCTTCCTTTTTCACTTTATGGAAAATTGTCAAATAGTTTGATTCAATTTTCAAATTTGTCTTCGCT